AGACAAAGATTAGAAATCAACTGTCTTAGACAAGCTTAAAGAGGTAAAAGACAACATGGACAAAAAACCAGAAGAGTGAAGTTCCACCAAAGAGAATATCAACAAAGACACACGAAGTATAAAAAGGAACCAAATAGAAATCCTGACGTTGAAAAGTACAATAACTGAAATAAAAAATTCACTAAAGAGTTCAACAGCAGATGTGGACAGAAAAAAAAAATCAGCAAACTAGAAGATAGGTAAATTGAAATTATATAGTTTGAGAAGCAGAAAGAAAAAAGAATGAAGAAAGACAAACAGAGCCTAAGAGACCTGTGGGACACCACCAAGCGTATCAACATTTGCATACTTGGAGTCCCAGAAGTAGGGGAAGGGGCTGAAAGAACATTTGAAAAATAATGGCTGAAAACCTCCCAAATTCGATGAAAGACATGAATCTACACATCAAAGAAGCTCAAGAAACTTCACAGGATAAACACAAAGAGATCCACACTGAGACACAGTATAATCAACAAAGATAAAAACAAAAAGAGAATCTTGAAAGAAGAGAGAAGTGATTCATCATGTGGAGGAGATCCTCAAAAAGATTAATAGCCAATTTCTCATTGGAAACCATGGAGGAAAAGAGGCAGTGGGATGACATATTAAAGTGCTAAAAGAAAAAACTTGCAGTGAAGAATTCTATATTTAGAAAAACTCTTCTTCAAAATAAAGAAATTAAACCATTCTCAGATAAACAAAAGCTGAGGGAGTTCCTTGCCAACAGATCTGTCCTAATAGAAATGCTAAAAGGAGTCTTCAGGCTAAAATGAATGGAAAACAACCCAAAGCCATTAGTAGAAATAAAGAGCACTGTTAAAGCAAACCATAAAGGTAAATATAAAAGCCAGTATTATTATATTTTTGATTAATAAGTCCTCTTTTCTTCCTACCTGACTTGAAAGACATAAGCATAAAACAATGATGACAAATCTATGTTAAATGGGCACACATATTCCTAGGTCTTCTCTAACAAATTCCCACAAGCTGGTGGTTTATAAAGAGAAATTTATTCTCTCACAGTTCTGGAGGCTAGAAGTCTGAAAGCAAGGTGTCACCAAGACCATGCCCCCTCTGGGACTCTGGATAGAAGCTTTCCTTGCCTCCTCCTAGCTTCGGATGGTGGCCAGCAATACCTGGCACTCCTTGGCTTGCAGGTGCATTACTCCAATCTCTGCTTCTGTCATCACATGGTGTTTTCCCTGTTTGTCTCTATCTTTTTGACATTGTAATATGGTAAGAAAGATATATTTTGGTCTTTGTCTCTGGCAGGAGAAAGGAAATAATAAAGATTAGAACAGAGATAAATGAATAGAATAGAAAAATAGAATTAACAAAATGAAAAGTTGTTTCTATGAAAAAAAAAAACCCAACAAAATTAATGAACCTTTAGCTAGATTGACCAAAAAAAGGAGACAAGACTCAAAATATTAAAATCAAAAATGAAGTGGAGATGTTACTACCGACCTAATAGAAATAAAATGGGTTATAGGAGAATACTACACACAATTATATGGTGAAAATTTAGATGAAATGAATAAACTCCTAGAAACACACAAGTTACCCACTGACTCTGGAAGAAATACAAAATGTGACTAGTAAGCAAAGAGATAATCTTTTCAGGATAAAATCACTCAGTAAACTAGGAATAGAAGGGAACACCACCACATGATAAAAAGCATTTAAGAAAAACCCACAGCTAACATATTTAATGGTAAAAGACTGAAAGCTTTCCCACTAAGATCAGGAACAAGACAAGAATACCCACTCGGGCCACTTCTATTCAAAACTCTAAAAGAAGACCTTGCCAGAGCAAATAGATAAGAAAAAGAAATAAAGGCATCCATATTAGAAAGGGTGAAGTAAACTATCTCTATTTGTAGATGACATGATCTCATAAACAGAAAATCCTAAAGAATCCACAAAAACCTATTAGAGCTAATAAACAAATTCAATAAAATTGTAGAACACAAGATTAACACACAAAAATCAGTTACTTTTCTATACACTAATAACGAACAATTTAAAGTAAATAAAGAAAACAATTCTATTTCCAGTAGCGTCAAAAAGAATAAAATACTTAGGAATAGAGTTAACCAAGGAGGTCAAAGACTTGTACATTGAAAACTACAAAACTTTGCTGAAAGAAATTAAAGATCTAAATAAATGGAAAGACATTCCTTGTTCATAGAATGTAATACTTAATATAGTTAAGACTGCAACACCCCCTATGTTTACAGATGCGATGGAAAAGTCAATAGCCTTTTTTCCAGAAATGGACATGATCTTCAAATTCACATGGAATTGCAAGAAACTTCAAACCACCAAAACAATCTTGACAAAGAACAACCAATTGAAGGACTCATATGTCCTGACTTTGAAAGTTGCTACAAAGCAAAAGCATCAAAAAAGTATGGGACTGGCATAAAGATAGATAGATCAACCGACCAGAAAAGAAAGTTCAGAAATTTCCATGCATCTATGGTCAACTGATTTTCAACAAGGGTGCCAAAACCATTCATTGGGAGAAAAAATAGTCTCTTCAACAAATGGTGTTGGGACAACTGGATATCCACACGCAAACGAATGAAACTGGACCCATTCCTCACATTATACACAAAAATTAACTCAAATAGATCAAAGACCTAAATATAAGAGCTAAAACTATAACACTCTTACAAGAAAATATAGGAGTAAATCTTCATGATCTTAGATTTCACGATGAATTCTTAGCTATGACATCAAAAGCACATGCAACAAAACAAAAATAGATAAACCAGACTTCATCAAAACTAAAACCTTTTTCAAATCAAAGAATATACTATCGAGAGAATAAAAACTCAACTTACAGAATGGGAGGAAATATTTGAAAATCATATATCTGACAAAAGTCTAGTAACTGAAATACTCTTACAATACACAACCCAATTAAAAATGGACAAAGGACGTGAATAGACATGTCTGCAAAGGAAATAAAGAACTGCCCAGTAAGCACATGAAAAGGTGCTCATTAGTCATTAGGGAAGAGCAAATCAAAACCACAATGAGATACTACTTTATATGCATTACGATAGCTATAAGTAAAAAAAAAGACAATAACAAGTGTTGTTGAAGATGAGGAGATACTGGAACTCTCATACATTGCTGGTGGATGTGTAAAATTATGCAGCCATTGTGAAAAAGAGTTTGGTGGTTCCTCAATAAGTAAAGAATATAATTAACATATGACCCAGCATTTCTACTTCAAGGTAAATACCCAGAAGGATTCAAAGCAGATGTTCAAACAAAAACTTATACATGAATGTTGACAACAGGACTATTGACAACAGCCGTATGGAGGAAACAACCCAAATGTCCATCAACTAACAAAGAGATAAACAAAATATGGTACATCCATATAATGGAATATTATTCTGCTATAAAAAGAAAATGAAATCTTGGTGAAAGGGTACAAACTTTCAACTATAAAATGAATAAGGTCTGAGGATCTAATGTATAACATGCTGACTATAGTTGGTAACACTTGTATTGTATAATTGAAATATGCTAAAACACAATTTAAATATTCTTACCAAAAAAAGATAAATATGTAAGGTTATGGATCTGTTAATTAATTAGATGGCTAAAAGGGAGAAATCCTTTTATAATGTAAACATATATCAAATCATCATGATGGACACTTTAAATATCTTACAATTTAGTCAATTATAACTTAATAAGACTAAGAAAAAAGGAACGAAGTCTGATAAGACGCTACAGTATGGATGAACCTTGAAACATACTAAGTGCAAGAAGATGGAGAAAAACACACTGTATGATTACATTTATATAAAATATCCAAAAGAGGCCAGTCCAGTCCACAGAGATGGAGAGTAGATTAGTGGTTACCAGAGAGGTTAAGGGGGAATGGAGAATGACTTAAAAGGGTATTAGGTTTTCTTTTGGGATGATGAAAATGTTCTGGAACTAGATAGTGATGATGGTTGCACAACACTTTGAAGGTGCTAAATGCCACTGAATTGTACACTTTAAAATGATTCACTTTTTATGTGTATTTAACCACAATAAACATATATCATCGGTGACTTTTACAAACCAAATTCCAGCAAATGGTGAAGAAGAATTCATTTTGCGTGAAGCAGACTGAAATTTCATTAAGTACAGAAACATGTGCCAGAAAATCATGTCTTAACTGAACATTCTACCTACTGAGCAAAACTAAGAATTTTGGAAAGCTATTTTAAGGACATGCATTCAATTTATTCTCTAGATATTCTAGGTTTTATCCAGGAAAACAAACAAAACAAGACCATCAGAAAGTTGTCTACATGGGCTTCAGTAATATGGTCACTGAAAAACCTCATTAACCGAGTTCTGCTTGGTACCCTGTCTTTTGCTTCCACTGAAGAATAACTATAGTCATTTATTTCATGGTTGCCACCAGAAGGTTATTCATCATTTACATGAAAAAACACAAAAGGTTTTGTTTTAGCTTTCAGTGCCAGAAAGTCTTTAGGTTCCAAAAGGAAATCAGGTAGCTTTATTAATAATATCATCAATGAAAGCCATGTACCATACAGTCTTTTCTTTGGCCATGGCTACCAGAACAGTCAGAAATATACGCAACTCAAATTTGCTAACTGCCTAACTTCACACGATCTGTATTTATGTGCCTTGCCAACTCTGTCCTAGTGATCCGCTCTTCCAATGATACTGGCCTGTAGACCTCAACATCAGCATTACCTGCAATCTTGTCCAAAATGGAAATTCTCAGGCCCCATTCTGAAAGTTTTAACAACTTTCCAGGTGAGTTTAATACACACTAAGGTTTGAGAACCACCGTGCTATCCTGTTTCCCTCAGGTTCACTTTATCTATTTCTACTTTAACATTTCAAGTATAGGAGTCATTAACCTCAAAAATCCATTGTAAAAAAAGGGTAGAATGACTTTGACAACTCACATTGGATTTCTTCATATTTTGCTGGTCTTGGAAAAAGGCAGAAATTTCTGAAGGTACAGCTGGGATAGAAAAAAAGGAATGAAATCATTAGAGATACAGATTGCCTTGCAACCCCTGGATTTGCCTATTTAAAAAATTGCAGGGGCCGACCCCGTGGCCGAGCGGTTAAGTTCGCACACTCCACTTCAGCGTCCCAGGGTTTTGCTGGTTTGGATCCTGGGCACGGACATGATGCCGCTCATCAAGCCATGCTGAGGCAGTGTCTCACATGCCACAACTAGAAGGACCTACAACTAAAAATATACAACTATGCACTGGGGGCCTTTGGGGAGAAAAAGTGAAAATAAAATTTAAAAAAAAACAAAAACAAAACCCTGCAAACATCACCTGGGTAAAATATCTCTCTGTGGGAGAATATCCTTTTCAACCTTGGGAAGGGCAGGAAGGGACATATGAAGAAGTACTCGCATGTGCATGTGTGACTGTGATATGGTCAAGCAGAGCTTGGGCGTGTAACTTTTCATTGGGTGAATGTAATTATTTTCTCTTGATTTGTTAAACAATGTACATACCCCTTCATTTTATTTCAAAGAAAAAAAGCATTATGAGAAAACTGCTTAAACAAACTGTAACACACTAAGTGAAGGAACACCTAAGTCTTCATCAAAAGTCACACTGTACATGTATATTTCCTTGTTTCCTCCTTGAGGTAGAGAACTTACCCAAAGCTATGAAAAAAGGGATGGAGGCACTTTAACGTAAAGTTTTTAAATTGTTGTTCTAAAGCGTTGGCAGTTTCTCTAAAGGCTGCCTTTTAGGAAATGTGTTTTAACAGTGATGATGTGGTCAGCACTGGCCTGGGTTTCAGGAGGCTGAACATCTATTCTGGGCTCTGCCAGGGAATTAACACAAAGCCAGGGAAACTCACTTATACTCTCAGGACCTATTTTTCCCAACTTTCTGCAAGACAAATAGAAAACTATTCTTGTACTGCTGTGTATAAGGAAATCACCAGCATATCTTTAGATGCCAAATTCATTGTGTGAGAAGAGCTCAGAATCTGGGAAGAGTGAAAAATAAAGAGTGGGGGTTGAATTGGGATCGGTGAGAGAGAATTTATTCAGATCTAGTTTTAAAGGTCCTTTCTCCATACCACGTCCTCAAAACTCCTGCAATACACAGGAAGTTATATTTCCTGTGTAGCCTAACCTTTCTTCATTCATCTCAGCCCAGTTCCCCTCTCTTCTCAAACCTGGTCCAGACTTTCCTCCATTAGGCAACCTGTGATGGCTTCTGAATATGGCCACATTATTCAAATCTCACTCATTCTGAGCAGGCTGTGCAAACCCAAGATCTGCTCCTTTCTGGGAACTAGGGCCTCTGCTCAGAATCTTGCTCAAATGGTGGAGTGGTTCTCTCCCAAGTGAGATTCTGTTCCTAGAAACACCTCATCCTTACTTCACAAGAGGTGCTTTATTTCAAGGTAGATGTGAAATGCACCTAAGGGACAAATTCACTTTAATCGGATCCTTCATCCAGGCGCACAGTTCAATTCTGAGTATTCCTTATCCCATAAAATCCCAAGTCGGACCTTCAATAAAATCAAATCAAGGCTGCTCAGAACACAACGCTAGGCTGTTACAGAACTAACTCAGAAACAATTATACTGTCTTGTCCCAAGGACTGTGAAGACAGCCTGAAATCCCAGAAACAGAACTGCTCCAAGGTAAGATTCAACAGCTCAAATTATTTCTTCACAGGTCAAATTATTTCTGCCAGGTGCTGTGGAGGATGCAACGCTGGCTTTGATACCCAAGACAGCACATCAGAAAGACCATGACATTTCAAGAAACTTCTGAGTTTGTCTTCTAGCTTGTTTATCTGGTAGTTTTGTGACTTTGGGTATAAAACTGTCCTCTCAGTCTGTTTTCTCATTTTTTTACAGAGGGGAGAGTTATACTGACCTGAGTGATGAGCATAAACTAATGAGTAAGAAGAATGAAGTATTTCTATTAACAACAGTAGCTAATATTTCCTGCCAGGCACTGTGCTACACTATTTAATTCTCTGAAAAACTCCAGGAGCACGCCTTGTAAATATATTCGGTTACACAGACAAGGAAATCAAGTCTCACGTAGGTTAACCATCTTTCCCAGCAATTCTCTTACACCCACTTCTGCCCATCGCCAAACCCCTCCTCAACCCCGCCCGCTCCCGCTCCCCTCCCCCCTCCCCTCTTCCCCCCCCGCCCCCCCCTCCCCGGGCTGAGCGCACCCATCGCGCATGCGCAAGTGCCCCACCCTCGCGGCCGCACAGAACACGCAGCCCGCGTCGTGGACGGTTCAGACCCACGCGACCGCTGCAGCCTTCCCGGGGTACCGCGTCGCCACGTCCAATGCCGGCCCCTTCCTCTGACAGGCTCTCCCCCGTCCCACTGTCCCTTTTCCGGGCCGAGACCGCCTCCACCCGCCCTTTCGGGTTCTTGCACCGCGGGTCCCGCACTGGTCCGCGAGGCTCCTCCTCACCGCCGGGCATCGCTGCCCCCCGCCACGCAGGGTCCCCCTCGGCTCTCGCCCAACCCTCCGGCCTCGCCTGCCGCTAGCACTCGGGCCGCACCAGCTCCCTGAGCATCGCGCAGTCCTGCAGGCTCCGAGACGGCTCTCACACTAGGCCCAGGAATCTTCCCAGGGGCAGCGCCTACGCGGTATTGCACATGCGCAAAAGGGGCCGCAGGAAACTCCCCGCCCTCTCCCGCTGCCCTTGGCCACGCGCGGCGAGCTCGCGGACTGCCCCGCTCCGTTTCTCGTAGACCTGCTTGCCCAGGGCCTTAGAGAATTTCGGAAACGTTACTGTTGCTTTAGCATTCGGAGACTGTGGCCCAGGGTTATCACTTTTGCTGAATGCAGCCCTGAATTTTTGCACTACCTCAGAGAAATAGCTTCTCAACCAGTGTGCCTTCGAACGCCACGCTACTCAAGGAAAGAAAGATGTAAATCCGTGTTGTTTATAAATATAAATAGCAAGGTTACTTTAAATACTGGGAAATCAAATGAATTAAATACTAGGAAATACTAGCAAGAAAATAAGAACAGTACTGTTTAAAAGTAAACAACAGCATTTTTCTCAGCAGTGAAGAAGGTAAACAAGTTCCTTCAAATATCAAATAAAAATAAATCCAGACTTAGGTAAGCAGAAACATTTCAAAAAGACTATTGCAAGAGGAAGAACCCTCCAATTTCAGCATCTCAAAGCATCTCAAAATCAAATAGAAAAAGACTTTTCTTTTGTAGGGAGGAAGAAGAAGGATTAGCAAGAACTTTTGAGAAGAAATTGGGCAAGTGAGTGGGGAAGGTGAGTGAACAGCATGATGGAGTAGTCTGACATGAAATATGTCTCGCTCTGGTCAGCGTTCCTACAATGAGAGGTGATGTTCTGTATTTCTGTGCTTGCTCAGACTTGGGGACAGCCAAAGTTCAGGGGCTTGTGAGGGGAAGAGAAGCCTGACTAAAATTTGGTCAAGCTACGTCTGTATAGACCCGACCTACGAGAAATTCTAAAGTCTCCTTTAGACTCCCTTTAGACACTACAAAGGATGGACAGTAGACTCTAGACAGTAACTTGAGGCCATGTTACACAAAAAGTACCAGTAAGGATAACTATGTGGGTAATATAAGAACCAGGATTGTTGTATTTTTTGTAGTAACTCTTTGGTTTGACATATAATTTAAAAGACAAATGCACCAACAATAGTTATAAAACAATGTTAATTCAAGAAACACAGAAATAACCAAAACTGACTCAAGGTGAAGTGGAAAATCTGAATAGATCCATAACATGTAAAGAGATTGAATCAGTAATCAATCCCTCCCCACTACAGCAAAGAAAGTCTAGGATCGAATGGCTGCTCTGGTGAATTCTACCAAATATTTAAAGAAGAATTAACACCAGTCTTTCCAAAACTCTTCCATAAAATAGAAGAGGAGAGAACACTAAACTCATTCTGTGATCCAGTTTTATCTCTATTTAAACAAAAACGGACATTACAAAGAAAAACTACAGATGAAAATTATTTCTCAGTATAGATATAAAAATTTTCCACAAAATACTAGCAAACTGAATCCAGCAGCATATAGAAAAAGATTATACACCATGACCAAGTGATATTTACTCCAGGAATGCAAGGGTGGTTTAATATACAAATGGAGTTGCTATCAATGTAATATAGCACCGTAATAGGACAAAGGCAAAAGAAAAAACAAAAAAACATGATCATCTCTGTTGACACAGAAAAAACAACTGAAAAACTCCACACCCTTTCACAACAAAAAACATGCAGCAAACTAGGAATTTAAGGAAACTTCTTCAACATTATTAAGAGCATTTAGGAAACAATCCACAGCTAACATCAGAGTCAATGACAGCAGACTGAAAACTTTCCCACTGACGTAAGGAACAAGACAAAAAGAAGAGCTTTCATGAGTTCTTTTCAACAACGTACTGGAAGTTTTAGCAAAAGCAGTAGGCAAAAAGAAATAAAAGACTAAAATATTGGAAAGGAAGAAGTAAAACTATTTCTATTCACAGATGACACGATCCTATATAAAGAAAATCCCAAATAATACACACACACACACACACACACACCACTGCTAGAGCTAATATACATATTAGGGTGAGTTTCAAGATACAAGATAAATCAATACTGAAAAATCAGTTGTGTTTCTATACAGTAGCAATGAATAATCTGAAAAGGATATTAAGAATTCCATTTCCAATAGCATTCAAAAAAATAAACACCTAGGAATAATTTTAAGAAAGAGATAAGGAACTTGTACACTGAAATCTGTAAAACATTGCTGAAAAATTAAAGTAGAATGAAATAAGTGGAAAGAGATCTGATGTTTATGCTGTGGAAGCCATAATATTGTTAAGATGGCAATACTACCCAAAGCCATCTACATATTCAATGCAATTCCTATCAAAATTCCAACAGCCAATTTGCAAAAGTGAAAAAGCCAATCCTCAAAATCATAAGGAAATCCAAGGTGTCCAGAATAGCAAAAGTGATGTTGAAAAAGAAGAACAAAGTTGGATGACATACTTTGTGATTTCCAATGTTACTACACAGCTACTTTAATGAGAACAGTGTGGTGCTGCTATAGGGAATGATATATAGAACAACAGAATAGAATTGAGAGTCCAGAAATAGCTGCATACATCCATGGTCAATTAATTTTTGACAACATGTACTGGCAAATGAAGACACATAGATCAATAAAACAGACTAGAGACCCACATAAATATAGTCAATATTTTGATTTTTGACAAAAGAACAAAGGCAACTTAATGGAAAAAGCATAGTTTTTTCAACAAATAATGCTGGAACAATAGGACAAACATATGGAAAAGAAATGAGTCTAGACACAGAACTTTCACTTTTCACAAAAATTAACTCAAAGTGAATCATAGATCTAAATGTAAAACCCCAAACTAAAAAACTTCTAGAAGATAACATAGGAGGAAATTTAGGAGACCTGAGGTTTGGTGGTGAAGTTTTAGATTCAACATCAACCATCATCCATGATACAAAAAATTTGGTAAGTTGGGCTTTATTAACACTAGAAATGTACTATGTGTAAGATACTGCTAAGAGAATGAAAAGACAAACCACAGACTAGGGAAATATTTACCAAACACATATCTGATAAAGAACTTATACCCAAAACATACAGTGTACTCCTAAAACTCAACAATAAGAAAATAAACAACCTAATTAAAAGTATGTTGTGAGAAATAAAAGAACTATCAATATTTAAAATATCACATAATATACCATTATGACATGTAATATTAGAAAACATTTAAAAAGTTATATGAAAAGTTTAAATACTAGGAAATATCTGGGGTTGATATGGATTTGGGAAAATATTTGCTCCCACCAAATTTTATTGTAAGGAATACAAATTTTCTAGAAGTTTCTTTATATCATACTTCAAAATGAGAATGCTCTTAATTAGCACTCCTACGTTTAGGACAATGCTAGTAGATAACTATCAAATGATGTACTGTATTAGTCAGGGTTTTCCAGAGAGATGAACCAACAGGATGAGAGAGACAGAAACAGAGATTTCATTTAAGGAACTGGCTCACACATGAATGTGAGGGTTGGTAAATCCAAAACCTGCAGGGCAGGACAGCAGGCTGGAGACCCAGGGAAGAATTTCAGTTTGAGTCCAAAGACAGCCTGCTAGCAGTATACTTTCTTGTTTAGTGGAGGTCAGTCTTTGTCCTACTAAGGCCTTCAACTGATTGGATGAGGCCCGTCTACATTATGGAGGGTATCTGCTTTACTCAAAGTCTACCAATTTAAATGTTAATCTTACCAAAAAAAACGCTTCACAGAAACATCCAGAATAATGTTTGATCAAATATTTGGGCACCATGACACAGCCAAGTTGACGCATAAAATTAACCATCACTTTGCAAATTAGTTCATGACAACAAACCATGAAAAGCAACTTAAAAATAAACTATGGTAATGTATAAGATGGAACAGTAGTTAGCGATTAAAAGTAATAATATAGATATACTAACTCACAAGTGGGAGTGATTTTACATGACATGTTTTTCAATTAAAATTGCAATTCATGCAAGAATATGTAAAGCATAGTTCCAATGTTTTTACAATTAATGCATGCAAGTCTTATTCTTTACAATTCTCTTTAATTCTTACTTTCAATCCTTAAATACTACAGTCTGTTGTTGTAATTAATAATTCCTTATATTCAAATTTCCTAGCTCAAAATACTAATTACCAAGTGCTGTGATTTGGCTCTGATCAATATAAAATTGCTACAGGAGAGATTTCAGGAGACTTGATACAGAATTGGTACCAGAGGTGATCTCAGGAGACAGACATGCAAAGATGGAATTTGGGGATTGGTTTGGTTGTGCCTTTCAGCATGAGTACAATGCTGATCTCCTTGCCAATGGTAAATAGGATGCTTGTAAGCTACAGCATGCAGAGGCTTCACAGTTAATTAACTATCATGTATGAAATACTAACTGAAGCATGTGCCTTGGAGGCCCAAGAGACTGCTGCACTTGACTGTTATGGCAGTAATGATGACTATAAGGATTGTGGTGTGGGAGAAATTATTTGAGTGCTCCTGAGCACTTATGAAGAGAAAATGACAAACTCAGGTCTGTCATCTCTCTTCAAAAATCATGGTTTGAGGGGGCTGGCCCCATGGCCAAGTGGTTAAGTTCGCGCGCTGTGCTGCAGGCGGCCCAGTGTTTCATCAGTTCAAATCCTGGGCATGGACATGGCACTGCTCATCAAACCACACTGAGGCGGCATCCCACATGCCACAACTGGAAGGGCCCACAACTAAGAATGTACAGCTATGTACCCGGGGGCTTTGGGGAGAAAAAGGAAAAAAATAAAATCTTTAAAAAAAAAATTATGATTTGAGAACCAGACAACTTCCATGGCAGTCCTAAAAGAAGCTCTTATTCT